TATTTAATATTCGTTTTTGAGTTACACTAATGAATATTTTTTCAGCTCCCAAGTTTGGAGGGTGAGTTCACCCACTAAACATGAATAATAGCAGCTAAAAAAAGGTACATGTCCAATATTTTCGAATTTTCTAGATGTAGGCAAAATTTCATCAAAATCGGCGTGTATCAGTTGGGTAATGTCCATTGTTAGTGTTCTATTGCTGTTATACTATTGGTTTTGGAATGACATACTTTTTAGTCTGATTTGGGTTAGACGATACATAAAAAAAAAAACAAGAACAGTTATATGGAATTTTGTAGTAAATTGTTATTCGTACTAATCGGGAAAATTTTGGCTGCAATATTAAAAAATGCAATTACGTGACTGTCGTAGTCATAATGTCGTCGAGATGAAAAATCAAATCAGAACATTGGCCCTAGTTTCCCGCCTGGCATGTTCTACATTTTGTGTATGTGCTCCACTAACTGGATCGACGAAATTCATTTTATGGTTTACAACTAGGTGCCTGTATTCTCCATCATTCAAACAGTTGCATGATCTTCAACAATCCGACATGAATACCGACATTTGTGGATAACACTAAGTAAGTAACATTTCGGAGGATCTACGGAGGATTTACATGAACGCTTGATGTCCCCAAAAATCCTTTATTGTGTTTGCGTTTGCCTATCTTATTTCATTTTCGCTACCAATCTGAACAGAATGTTTCTCCACCCACAAAATACGCTATTCGCGGCAAAACTTAGGCAATCAAGAGCAATATTTGGACTAATGTCTAATTCATGTTGTGAAAAGCATTGTCGTGGTGGTAAGCTATAAGACGACAAATGTTTTCGAGAAGAAGGTGTACACGTGGAAACCAAGACTTGCAATACGCACTAATCCTTGAATGACAATCTTTTTTAACTTCTATTTTTGACATAAAACACTCTACGGCATTTAAATAATAACGAGTCACGGTCAAATTGCATTTCCTTTTCACAATATGTAGATAAAAAATCTATTAACTTTTACAGAGCGTATATGTACACTCTTCGTAGCGAAAGGGTTAAATTCGCATAGGGAAAGTGTTCTAAATTCCTTTGGAGATGTTACATGTTTTACACTCGGAAAATGGTCGAGCAACCACGAAAAACAATTCAATAAACAAAGGAAACGAAATAACTTCTATATAGTACAGATAAAAGTATAAGTTACGTAAAGTGTTACTAATAAAAATTGATTTTCTATTATTCCGACGTCGACAGCTTTCTATAGTATAACCAAATCTGTTACAATTTCTAAACAGAACACGTTCCAGACTAATCTTCTCAATGTCTCTATAAATCTTTCTTCGTAAGAAAGAGAAAATTTACCTCCGACACTCTTCCTCGTGCCGATAAAAAAACCCTCGGTCCCCGCTTTATCCCTTTTTCTTTTGGAATTTCTGCCCCAGCATCTGACCCGTTGCGTACAGTCGCCCTGGAAAGTAAGTTAACGATCCCTCGTAAGCCGTTTGAACTTAAGAAAATTCACGAACGTCGTGTTACGCAGCTTTCGTTTCTTCTCCTTTACTTGTTAAGATGCAATGAAATTGCTGTTTTTATAGTATTTATACAAGTGCATGAAAATATACGCGATGAAAATATCTCCTCTCCATTTACACGCATACGCTTGATCGTTAACTTACTTTCCGAGGCGACTGGCGGCGGAAGAGAAAAGGGGGTTGGAAAGAAGGGCGGCGAGAGGAAAAGAGAATTTAGCGACCCTCTTTCGCTTTTTACCCTGAGCAAGAGTCGAGAGCCCCTTAGCCACCGTTTATTGGACGCATGCAAATATCCATGGCAACGAGGGACCACCATGAGAAGCAACCCCGTCGCGAGCTCTCCGCGTGTTAGTGGGTGGAGTACAAGTCTTCGAGATATCGTGGAGAGAAAGGGAGGACCCCGGGAAATTTTCTTTTGATCCGTGCGTTATTCCTTCCACCGGCAGCGATTTCTTAATTGATTCCTTTGTCCTGCGAAATCCGCCACTTCGCTCCAACAAATTCAACTCTCGCGATCGTGTACGAACGTGGTTTTAATAAGATTGTTCGTCCGTTGAAAGTTTTCGCAGTTACCGTAATTAATGCCTCAAGAGAAGTTTTCAAATGTGATTCGCACAGTTCGATCAAATTTTTCGTTGCTTTCCAAAGACAATTTGCCGTATGGAAAAATATTTGGAGTGGAAACAGTAAATTGTAACAATTCCATTTTCTGTGCATCTGAAGTATTGCATTTTTAATGGGAATCGTAGTACGGTATTTCGTGGAAGTAGAGCAGTATGAATGGTCGCAAGTTAGAGATAATTGTAAGTTTTATGGCGGGTAAGTCACTTTTACAGTATTTGTGAAAAGTGAAATTCTAGGAATTGCACGAAGCTTAACAAGATTGTCAAGTTTCACCATTAAGTGAAAACAGATAAATTTAATTTCTCTACGCGCAAGTGACATTTTTTATGGATTTTCGTTTAAAAAATGTATTCCTTTCATATGCATATAAAACTGTTTAATTACAATTTATATGAGTTTTTCTTATTCATCAGTTAAGTACAGTAAACTTCCAAAATTACAATTTCTCTGTAATTAATCAGAAACCATTACACAAAATATACTGTCTTCGCCTTTCCGTTATTGGTGAGTCGATAAGAACTAACATCTAAAATAACTCGTTATCTCTTGCGTATATCAAAAAACGGTTTAAATGAATTATGTAGCATTAGAAGGGGTGCATCGGGTAGACATAACCAGATATTTTTATATCTTATATTTTTGGAGATTTCAAGATGACCTCCATTTTTTGCACGATCAATGCATTCCCTTCTTTAATGCTGCATTGTAGCACATGAAAAGACGAATTCAACGGTCCACAATAAGCTGACTTACAGTTGACTATGATCCTCAAACCGAGATACAATATTTTGTATAAATTGCATAAATTTCGTATAAATCCATCTGACGCGCCCCTTCTAATGCTACGTAATTCATCTAAACCGTTTCTTGATGCAAGCAAGTGATAACGAGTTATTTTAGACGTTCATTCTCATCGGCTTACCCTGTATTGAGAAACTATCGCTCAAGATAAAAAACTGCTTTGCCTTCAACCATCTAAATGTGACATATTTATCATATTAACAAACTAAAATTTCCACTCTTTCTCAATTAATCTAATACCTTACCCAACAGAACTGAATCGTCATCTGTTGACTCAGAGAAGGAGCAAAACAACAGGATCGATCTACTTTCCCAGAAATATCTTTTTTCTCAGCATTTCGTTATTCATTATTCAGAAGGTTATTACATCATAAGGTCCTTTCTCTCGCGATCGCTGTTTCAAATGGGTCGACAACGATGGAATTTATGTCGTTCTGTTTACACGGGGATTTCATCGGCTCGCATAAACACACCCCATAGTCACCTCGCAGAAAACTGATTTCCATCCTTCTTCCCGCCCCCCTGCACACCCCCTCCCCCAACTATCTATGTAAATGCGTTCCTGTTTTGTGTGCGTACAGAAAGCCCTGTTGACAATACGCTTGCGCGCTTACGACCTCCACCCCACAAAAGTCGAGCTCCATTACGCGTGTTTTGCGACATGCTTTATAAACTGTTCTCCTTGTTACCGTGGAAAGCATCATTGGACCCAAAGCTCCCCCTTTTTGCGCCCGATTCATTTAATGTTCTGTTAACGTGAGCGCGTAGAACTGGCATTTGTCGCTCTATTCGGCGACTTTTCGAGGTTCACGGCAGAAGTTTTTTAAACACTCTTCGGTCAACGTGTTGTTATTCCGAGACAATCGAGATGACGACAATCGATAAGTTTGTAGAAAATTTGTGCAAATTAACGAGGTACGGTATTTTAACGATGAATTTTTCGAAGCACTCCCGTCGCACAGGTACGGAACGCACGGGGTCTTCGTCGACCGGGTTTATGGCACGCTCGCACGAGTAGGTTATTTTTGAGAACAAAGACGCTTCGTAGCTCCGCGAAAAAGTAAGTAATTTCTTACAGAACAATGCCTTTAGAATTTCGACTTTTCCGCGTCCTCAATAACCGAAGACGTGTCATAAACCAGGTATGGTGATCAATCCCACTCTCGGCCGAGGGTTGTCGTAGCTCCGCGAAAAAGTAAGTAATTTCTTACAGAACAATGCCTTTAGAATTTCGACTTTTCTGCGTCCTCAATAACCGAAGACGTGTCATAAACCAGGTATGGTGATCAATCCCACTCTCGGCCGAGGGTTGATCTGGCAGGAATTTCCGACGCGTCACCGAAGAACAGCGAAGATTCCACGCACCCGCAGGTAGGGCCCCACTTCTTCCAAGGAAAAGCGCGCTAAGGGCGCAATGGAAGGGTGAGTGACACTCAAGGGGCACGTTGATTGGTAATTTGTGCGTACGTGAAAAACCAATCAGCGTGCCTTCTTGCACTTGGCGGGGGAGTCACTGGGGACTCCAGAAAAATTCGGCAATCGAGAGACATTCGCAAGGAGTCTCTCGTGTGAACAACACATACACACAGTTTCCAACCGTACGAGGAGACACCCGTAGTTTTCGAGTCGCGATCGACGCAGGTTTGCTAACGTTCGAGCAAAGTAAATTTTTGAACCAGTTACCCAAGATTAATTTGGCGGGTAACAGTCGTGAGCGCGAACAACTTTGAAAAATCAAAGGAGAACGCGACGCGACATCTCCGAAGAATACGAATGTAATTATTCTGTATTTCATTTACAAGCTGTTAATCAGCTATTTTTCTAGCAGCTGTGAGGACGCGTGTTTCAACGAATAATCTAGTGTTTAATTTTTAGAAATGTCAGAGTTTTTACAACTTACCGCGGAACAAAAGGTATGCAATTTTCAGAAAATCCATTTCGGACTGAATGATCGATTGAACGTTAAACGATCGATCAATTTTTAGGAATCGTAAATGATTTTGTTTCAGACGGGGTGTTTTAGGAATGCAAAAATTGTTGTACTCACGCTAGGAATGTTATCGTTCGTGCAGACACCCTCTTGAAGCAAACGATCCCTGATCTCCCACGCAAATATAGAGGGGCACTCACTTTTGTAGAGGGAAATCTTGCTTACTACTTCCGCCGTGGCTACACGCGGCTTACTGCCACCGATGGCTCTGGGCCTGATAGATCCGGTTTCATAGTACCTGCAATAATAATAATTTGCGGTACAATACGGTAGACGTAATAGAAGTTGCTCGCAAGAAGTATGGAAACTTAAAACTTTTTGTAATGCGTATACAAAGAAAAGAAATTGCACATTTCTATGGATATGCTTATGATATCTTTGTACACTGCAGTTCATAAGTATTAAGATACCCTGTTATGTTCGCACAGAAATGATTGTGTCATTCAAATTACATTTCTTCGGCAAAGTTAATGCCTGAATATGACAAGTAGAGATCTTAAATTCATCAGTAGAAAAACCGAGTCTATTATTGAGTTTAGCATTGACCATGAAGTTGGTTTTATACTTGTCCACGTTTAATATTTTCAAATATAAAGCTATCCACTTTTTGACACACTTATCCAGAAAAAGTCAGTTTACGAAAATTAGGGAAGGAAGTGCAGCGAAAAAGAGCAAAATTTAATTATTGCTTTTTTTTTTACAACTTATAGATTTAAAAAAAAAAACTATTTTTTTTTTTGCATTTTCTGAAAGTTCAGGTTCTCGAAATTATGTCTGCAGAAGGATTTGTGCGAATTCGTAAATATTACGAAGTTATAGGTATTTAAAGAACGCTGTACACAACCCACAGCGTGCGACGTACAATATTATTGTTAGTAATAAAATTTTGGAAGTACAGTAGATTCCCTCTTAATCGGCCCGTATGGGACTAGACTTCTAGATGAACGAATAGCCGGTTAATCCGACGATATCACTTATAGGTTGTAAATAAAATAAAAAATATGCATATAGAATTTATTATTTACACATAAAATCTAAATATAATATAATATGTCATTAATATCATTTAAAAACATATAAAGAAGTAATGTTTATTGAACATTTATTCATACAAAGAATGAGCTTCGATATGGCTGACGATCAGTTTGACATGCAACGGTTGTCTTATGTTGAAGTTCATTATTACTATAGAAAAATCACGTTCTGTTTTTACGGAAACTATTGACCGGTTAAAAAGGGACTCTTCTGTAATTAAACCGATTTTCGAGGATTCATCTGCAGACAAATGTTTGAAGAGGTGACTAGAAGCGGAAGTACAAAATAATAACGATTAAATTCGTTGATTTGAATTTTCGTTCCAAAACATATACATTCAGGAGCAGCAGCCGTTGAAATCGCCACATTTTCAGCCGTTAATATATTCAACGAGGAATTTTCATAAATTCTACATGTTTTTTTCTGTACTGGGAGTGACTATTGGCCAGCGAGCAGAGGCGTACGTAAATTCCCAACATGAGAGTCGGTCGACAGAAGCTGCCAAGAAGGCTAGGGTTGCTTGTAGAGAAGAAAAATCAGCTGAGCAGGACTTTTTTGAACAAGAGGAAGGTCCACTGTATGGTCCTGGGCTGACAGATTAGTCGAAAGTATAACCATTTTCATTTAACTGGTATGAAAAGTCTTAAACACGTTTTTCCCGAAACCGTATTTTCCGAATTGGCTGACACGATATTTTAAGTGCTAGTTGACTGATTGACTCGAAATTTTGCATGCACGTACAGTAAATGTGCCGTTATCGCATGAATTGGAAAAAAAAATTCCTATTTTTTCCCTAATTTTAGAGCACACAAAACACGAAGAAAATGGAAAAAATCGACATTCAAACTTCAAAGCGCCCCCATTTTTAAAATTTTCAATTTTAATTTTCACATTTATTCTAATCAAGAATCCTTTTGGTTTTCTCCGTTTCGTATAAGTAGAATGGCCGGAATCATTTCAGCCAATAGGACACTTTTTTTAAAGGGACCGTATTAAATAACTTATAATTCGGTCAATTTTCGGGAATATTCTTGAAACATAAATAAATATGTGTGCAAAAAATCGATAATAAAAATGTCTTACGGTTTCTTTGTAAAGGAATCTCAAAAAAGACCTAAAAAATTACACTCCAGACTAAAATACCCCCTTAAGGTGACGAGTGATTCCCAACTGAATAATTTTTTTTGGGATCTTAATAATTTTATAATGACTGTTTAGATTTACTTCACATCCAATAAGTGTCCTAATACTTATGAACGGGGTGTAGCTATTTTTCGAGACCTGCATCTACACTTCTATTTATTCGAAGATTTTTAATTACAATAATTGAATAAAATAGTTGATTATAGTAATTAATTATTTAAAATTTTGTATACTCTGTGAATTAGATTATTGTTCGGCCAAATTGTGAATCATTGGTAAAAAATTGATTTCTGAATCTACTTTAATAAATTTAAATAAATAAATTTTCCTGCGAATTAGTAATGAAAAATGGCAGTACTATAGTATTTAGTTAGGCCAACGCTCACTGGAGGGTATTGTACACCGTTGGAAAGCTTACGAGCAGAGGAGATCAACAAGGGTGACCAGGGCTACCGCAAACGTCCCATTCAGAAAATATAGGTCAAATAAGGATACTACTTTGTCTTGTGTTTGTATCCTTTCTATCTTGTGTTTATATTCTTGACTCGATAGTGACTCATATATCGTCGGTTTTCGTATCGATTGGTGTTGTTATTACTATAGCATTGTTGTCTATAAGATCACGCTACCAGATTCAGTTAAATTTGGGTCAGATTTTTCGGCTGCCTACGTTAGTGCCGGGTCTACATATTTTAACCTATATTTGTTTAATCTTTTGCGGTAGCCGTGGCCACTCATGTTGGACTCCTCTACTCATAAACTTTCCAACGGTGTACCATACTCCTCAGTGGGCGTTAGCCTAAATACTATAGCGCAGCCTAAAAATATATATACAGCAATACCGTCAACTTACGTTCTAATTCGTTTCTAAACAACGGACGTAAGTCAGAGAAGACGTTAAGTCGCGGTGGAATATCTGATACCTCATCGTTGATAATGGCTCTGAGAATGATTTTAGCAGAGCGTAGCTTCTTACTAATTTCAAAAGCTGTTAATTCATATTCACAAAGTTTTCTAAGGTTCAAGTCCGTCTTTAATCTCATAATTCTTCTTTTATTCTCTTGAGAATACACGGGAGCAGTTGACACTAATTATCGTTTTGGTATCATATTGAACGCATTCTTCAAGCTAAACTACTACTATTAGTTTTCGATTAAATAGAAGCATTGAATACGTTTACAAGCATTACAACATAAACTGAAGAAATGCGAAGATAGAAAAAGAATGTAAGAAGAAAATAACGTAAGTCCGGATAATACTGTATTTATGAAATTTTGGTAATGTAATGTGTGAAATTTTGGGGAATTAAAGTGAGCAATATTTCAACCAACCTTCCAAGAATCTTCGAGACACAACCATTGCTGACCTGCAGGATCCTGGAAATGTCGCAGGGTCTCGCGCCAGAATGCGCTAGTTCGACGATCTTTTGCCTCGTCGAGTCTGGAAGTGGTCTACCGCCGACGAAGACACCACCGAGTTGATTCACACCACTGTGACCTAAAAACAGAACGCAACATCGATTAAACATCGTTATCACTGTGATCACATAAGTATAAGAAATTACATTCGTTACTATTTTAACGATTATAAATAGAAATTTTAGACTTTCAAATTCTATAATACTATTAATCTATTTTATTTTTAAACGAATTACTTCAAATACCATTGGATATTAATTCTGCTGACTAACTAAGAATCACAATATCGATAGATTCTGTTAATAAAGAATTTGTTAAAATAAGTCACACATTGTGTTATGCGGTGAGAAGTTTAAAATTGGGAGACTCAGTGGAAAACGGGAACTACCACAAAACTATACATTCACAGGAAAACTAATTTTTTTTAGGAAGTATGGTGTTAAATCGTAATAATTTCAACTAGCAATTGAATTAGACGGTAAATGGTAACTACTATCAAATATTACCTCCAAAATTCATATTATATGATACCTTTTGTTATATCTTACTTTGAATAAATTCTTAACTCATCATTGTTTCAATATCTTAGATCAGTTTGGAAGACTGTTTTGCTACACGTGTTTGATAAATAACAAGGAAATACATGAAATAACACTAATAATCAAAGCATAAGCACGTTAGCTGTGTGAGTGGATATTGTTATGTTGTTATATTGTTATGTATCTCAACTGTACAGCAAATTTTTATTCAATTTAACCCTCATTCGTCCCTCAGTTTCGCATCTTAATATGTCCCTCGGTGTTAATTTGTGTTATGTTAATTTAAATAAATTGTGTTATGTAAATTTAATGTTAATTTAAATTTTTTCTACAAATAGTCCAATTTTTTACCGGAAAAATGTGTCAAATTGACACGAGGGACGGATGAGGGTTAACTCTTCATCAATATGTTCAGGTTCTTGTTTTTTTTTTTTTTTCACTTTTAATGGTAACGAATTGGCAGTTCCTATGATAGAGTACAAGAATGGCTCTGGCAGAAGTTACATGCAACACGTAACTCGCATAAACAGACTACACATATATTGTAGATGTACATACGTAGGTACATATCGCTGATCTATTCCTATTTTGTATCATAATAACCGCACATCCGTTACCTTTTCCTTCGTACTCCGTATTATTGTTCTAATTTTTTAACCCTTTCCTTACTATAGGCGCCTATAGGCGTTTTGAAAATTTGCTGGCACTATACTGTTGGAGCCCCTTGGTGCTCTTCCACTTCAATTTAATACTTAATTTTATCCTTTACGCACTTCCGTCTTCATTTAATAAACCGAATTTTAAACGACCGAAATAATAAATGTTGCAGCCGTGGTTAAAGTTTACCGCCAGTCACCCACGTTACGCATTGAAATCTGCCGTAGTGAAAGGGTTAATAAAGCTTCAAACGACCTATATTTGTATAACATTTTTCTTTCACTTATACCCGCACAACATACTGACATAGTTGGATCGGAGAAAACTGGGACACCCTTTAGATGTGGCATGTGAATAAATCGTTAATTTCCTCGGTAAATCTTGAATACAATTACCATCAAATTGAGACACCTTCTTTTACCATCTACATGTTTGCCAAAACACTTCTCCACCAAAAACCTATAATACAAAAACACAATCCACCCTTCTTCGTGACAAAAATTCAAACGTGCCTCTGAATCTTCCAAACATTCTCACATTTCCGCGTAGAATACCTTTTTCGTCGTATATCACATATTTTTGACCCCCCTTTCAAACTCGCCGGAAAAAAAGAGAAAGAATGACGAAGGAGACGAAGAAGAAAGAGGGAGAGAGGAGGAACGTCTCCTTTCTTTTCGAAGCTACTCGTTCTCCAAGGGGGTGAACGAGCTGGGTCAGGGGGTTGGCTGCAGGCGTTAAAACGTTAGCGAATCCCATCGTAGATAATCTTCGACTCATTGTGTCGGTGACAAGGCGGACGCACACGAAAGTCAGCAGCCGGTTTCCTCCGGTTCCTCGCGGATCTTTTATATTCCCTTACCAGCCGTGAAGAAGAGAGACCATGGTGTCGCAGACCTGCCACGCCCTAATTTTTCGGGGATGAAAATCGCTGGCTGGCGGTCCAATGTACAGCAGAGAAAAGTGGAGGAACGGTGGGTAGCGAGGTACGTTCCTGGAAGGAATTGTGGACCGATGTTGGGGAAAAAGGTCGGGTGGTTATTGTGACTGAAGTGGGTATTATTAGGAATTTTGGTTTGATGCTATTGACAAATTTATTTGGACACTTTGGTAAGTCTCCGAAGCTAGTGTTTTTTGATTACACTCGTGGGTTGCGTTCACAGAGGACAGCACACAATAGGATACTCAGAAGCAAGATTGAACGTATACCAGGGAACATATAAGAAGATTTTGTTTGTTATCTTTCCACACGTTTCTATACAATAAAGAAAATAATGAGAAAATTGAATTCTTTTTTATAATAAATAAAGACTACAAAGAAATACATATTACTTTAATTCGAGCAAGTTTCTTATCAATTCTTAAATTGATTAAATACAAGAAGGTGCAACATCTCATAATGCTACATTTTTCTGAAACGAAATTCTAAATCTTCATACCTTCAAACTATACTAACCTCAATTTAAACGTATTTACGTTACATTCAACACGTAAATTCCATATTTCAATTATTCTTTCCCAACTATTTCTTTAACACCAAATCCTCTTCCGCGTTTCTTCGTTATCGAAAAGACACCAACTCTATCTACTATTTTTTCTTCTCGTCAGATTACGTACGATGAGGACAAGACAAGAATAGAAGAAAGAGAGTGAGAGGGAGAGAGAGAGAGAAGAAATAAAAAAAGAAAGAGAGAGAGAGCGATAAGGGCAAAAAGATCAAAACGATGGCTTGGGGTGGCACCTATTTTTTACGAGGTACGGCACTTCGCAGACATCGACTGACAAAAATTTCCAGACGGGGCTAATTCGACGCGTCGTCGTCCGCTACCCGGCGCGAGTTATAAGGGAGATTTACGAGCGTATGCGATTGACGAAAAAGGGGCCTCACGGTCGATTGACTTTTGAAAATGAGCCTCGCGCGCGCGAATCGCGTCGAGTTGATTCCTCGCGCGTACGTATTCCTAGCCGATGCGAGTGCTCCGTTTACTCGGGGAACCTTTCCTTCTTTGTATCCTACCTATGACTCACCAATCAGCAACGTGTAAATACATCGTCGTATTTTGTAAATTAAGCGTCGCTGTTTGAAAAGGATCATACTAGAGGAGCTGCTAACGATAATAGGTATTATCGATAAAATTTAAATATTACCGATAGTATCATTAAGGTAAGTTGAAATTAACTTAAAGTTTTATTATAAAAGATGCAAAACGCATGTTATGTTGTCGGTTTGCTAGAAGAGTGACACATCTTATAAAAGTGAAGTTTTCAGGAAATCGGTATGAATCGGTAGTCACCAATTTAACAATGAAAACATTTTTCTTCTTCTACAATTTAGCTAATTACTTAACTTCAGCTTCAAGCGTCCCTAACAAAATATTGTTTATGTGTATTGCTATTAAAAAAATGGTTAAAGGGGTATTCTGGTCGGGACGTTTGAAAATATCGATTTTTTTTTTAATTTTCTTAAAGTGTATGCCTTCGAAAATATGCCTGCAACAGGATTTGTTCGAATTCGTAAAATTGACGAAGTTACAGCGGTTTGAAGAGCACAGCTACAGATTACAGCTCTTGTAATCCTAAAACCTTAAACGCGTTTTTCTCGAGACCTCATTTTTTGAACTGATGTGCATGAGATCAGAATCTTCAGCAAACGTGTCATTATCGCAAGAGCCTCGGTTTTTAAAAAAATATTAATTTATTCATAGTGTTTTAGCATGCTCTAGACTAAAAGAATGCCGCCATTTTTTTAATTATCGACATTTTTAATTTATTCGAGGTTCCCACGATAGCCATATTCATACCAGTCAAGGTGTCATTCTATTTTTTGGTGTCAGATTAACGAAACGGTCGGAATTACGCACACCAGCAAAACACGTTGTTTTTTAACTTTGTCAAAACAAACACAGCTCGTGCAATTTTTATTCTTTTTGCTTTGAAAAAATAAGTTGTGTATTTTAAATGTTAGTAAATATGTGTGGCAAAATTCACATGAAACAGTCTTATGGTTTCTTTGAAAAAAAAAAATTAGATGTATACGATGCATTTAGGTGTGTATTTTTATTTAAACAAATATACAATTAATTTCTTTTATGCGTACTTGATCCCCCATGTCCACATTTTATAAATTATTCTATTATTTGTCAGCATTTTACATCGAACGTCTATGAATTATTCTTTATGCTGCAAGATATTGAATTGTCTACAATACATAAGTGATTTCATTTGAAAGAAAAAGGACAGAAACTCACCGTAAAGTAACTCCACTTTAATCACACAAAACTACAAAATTTCAATCGCATGTAGCATCTCTGGTATTGGAAAAGAAATAGATTCAGTATGACACGTATAGTCTGAAAATCGATACGCACTTTAACCTTAGTCTTCATTTTACAAAAACCAAAAAAAATATCATATAAATACCAGAAAAAGAAAAAAGAAAAAAAAAGGAGAAAGGAATTATTAATCATCGGCTAAAAGAGATATCGTTTGAAATACCCGCGGTATATACCAGAGCAAACAGCAAAGAGAAACAGGGGTTCCGGGACAGCTAATGAAGTCCTAATAGAGGACAGGCTTAGAGCTGCCACCCTTCCTACTGATATTTAATACAAACGTTACAATATCAAAACACGTTCTCTCGCAGAATGCCCACTCGAGCGCACCCCTTCATCGCGCGCGGCTAATACGCGGGTTACATACAAGGGTTACGCCTTGCCTAACTTAAAGGTGTACCCTTCTACTGTTACTCTGTCCTCTCTACGTGTAGATAAACAGAAGCACGGGCGCACGAGTATACACAATCAAACTATAATTCTCATTTTCTCTCATTCTCTTTCATCCTTATTTCTTTGTTCCTTTTCCCCTTCCTCCTTCACACTCTTTAACTTTACCTTTTATTTCTTTACACCTTTCCTTTTCCCTTCTTTTTTACCACTTTTCTCTCATTTCTCTCCATTATTCCCTTCAGTTTCGTTTTTCCTCTGCTCACTATTTTTCTCTCGTTCTTCCCTTTTCCTGCTTCATTCCCCTGATCCTTCTTCTCTTTCTCACCTTCTGTCTCTCACAATTAGATTTTTCCCTCCGCTAATATTATTCCGTTATACATTATTTGTTTCCTCTGTCATTCCTCTTCGCACCCTCTGTTCCTTTTTCTTCCCATCCTTACTCGTTCAATTTTCTCCACACCTTCTTCTCCTTCCCCGTTTCTCCCTCTGTTATCACATTGCCTTTTTCCTTTCTTCCGTTCTCCATCCCTCTCTTGGTTGACGTTCACAATGGACGCGTGACACGAGCAGAAACTAGCGCTCTAGAAATGCACGCTATTTG